CCCTTCGACATTTTAACAAAGCAAGAAAGGATAATGATTGGGGACAAAATGCAGTGTATAATATGATTGAAATTTGCTTAAACCCTGACAATGAAACGATTGGAGGTGAGGTATTTGAACATCTGGATGGTGACACAGAGTAAGTGATGATGACTCCTACTACTTTAAGATGGTATCCAGTTCAATGAATGCAGTCAATCGTATTTGGAAGAACCCCTCCAATTTGTTTTTGGGTGCAAACAACATAGGATGAAGCAGTAAATTTGTGTCAATTCATCCTGTGGATTATTAGATGAGAGTGTTAAGAAACAGTGCTAAAAAAAAACCCTTGTTTGGTGGTTTAAATTTTCACCTGGTGATTTCTATTTCAGCCCGACCTTACACTGAAGACATCTAAAAAGCTTCAAAGCTTATCTAGCTAACTCAATAAAACGGGGAAACAACTTCTCTAACTGTACAGTTGTTTACTTCTTTTGTCAACATTTTTTTTCCTTTTCCACCCTCAACAAGAAAGACTGAAATCCATCTTCAGACATTCAGAGAACAAAAGGAAAGAGGCATGCCATAGGCTTGCCCTTTTTTACAGAATGGATTTGCCTTATAAATGGATTCATAGCTGATGAAGCATTGGCATTAATATTATAAAACCAAATTCTACTTCCAAAACCAATTTTCAGTAAGCCTTCAACAGAGGGCTTAAGCCAAGGGACCGATACAATATGAGCACTATGGTGCATTGAAGAGGCACCACTTCTCTCTGTGCATTAAACTGAAAAGTGCTCTTAAATACTTTTTGCATTTCTATCTTGAATACATGCAAGAATGTCTCTTTTCCACCTACTGCTAATGCATTCTAAAATAAAGCCTTAATGTTTTTTTCTTATATCTAGCAGTTCTACAGAAAAGCAAGAATCAGTCCAGCTGGCTGTGAGAACAGCAGAAAAACTCCTAAAAGAATTGAAGCCTCAGACTGCTCAAGGTCATGTTCAGCTTGGCATCATGGAAAATTACTGTTTAATGGCAACTAAACAAAAATCAAACGTTGAGCGAGCACTACATGCCTTTACAGAAATTGTTACTAATGAGGTAAGATGTTAAAAACATTTGTTCAGTTGAACATCTAGAGCAGTGGTGGCGAACCTATGGCACGCGTGCTAGAGGCGGCATTCAGAGCCCTCTCTGTGGGCACACGCACCATCACCCCAGCACCCCCCCTGCCCCCCCTCACCAGCAGACCCTCGGAGTGTTGCCCCCGGGCGTGGCCCGCATGAAGCACCGCAGCCAAGGATATGGCAGCCGGGACAAGACTCTGCCCTTGCACCCTGTCGCGCACAGATGATGCTGTGGGGCGTGGGCAGAGGACATGGCCACCATGGTGCTGCAGGGCTGCCTGGGCGATCTGCAGTGGGCTGTGGAGGTGGTAGGTGGCCCTGCGGGCGAGGGGAGTGCAGGGGCGGAGCGGGCGAGGCGGGATGGTTTTTGGGCACTTGGTGTCTAAAAGGTTCACCATCACTGATCTAAAGTTTAATACAGAAACATGCTCTTTGTGTTAGGATGTGGATAGAGGGAGTCTAAGAAAATGGGATACAAATCATCCTTGGGTGATGTGGCTACAAGCGTTAGATTCTGGTTTCTAGTGAAATATAGTTATTGATAACCATGTTCCTGTCTTTTGCTAGCCTGGCTTAGAGCATACATGGGAACCAATGGAAGAAAAATATACTGACTGTGTGAAGTTCATCAACTAGCTTGAGAAAAAACCCAATGATTTTCTAAAATTATTTGCTTGGTGAAACACCAGACTTGTTAGTTTGGAGTCGTATGGAAAATGATATTTTGGTTGTGTTTCTTATGTGAACCAACAGATTGTGCACACAAGAGAGCTACCTTCTGGAATATAGCAGTGTTTCTCAACCTTAACAATTTTAAGATGTATGGCTGGGGGATTCTGGGAGTTAAAGTCCATACATCTTAAAGTTGCCAAGGTTGAGAAACAGTGCACTATAGGAATCTGTTTTCCTGCATCTGTTTAGCAGAAAAATGTTTATGGCTCTTGAGAGCACTGCACATTAGTCTTTAGATTGGGACTGAATGTGCATCACAATATATACTGCTGGCAAAAGTTTATTTTTCTGTAGCATTCTCGGTTTATCTTCTCTGTTCCATTTATTGTTGCAGAAGGATCATGTCCCGGCACTTTTGGGAATGGCTACAGCGTACATGATTTTAAAGCAAACCCCAAGAGCCAGAAACCAGTTGAAGAGAATTTCAAAAATGAACTGGAATCCCATTGATGCCGAAGAGTTTGAAAAAAGTTGGCTTTTGCTTGCAGATATTTACATTCAGTCTTCCAAATACGACATGGCGAGCGAATTACTAAAGCGGTGCCTTCGTCACAACAGGGTAATTAATAAACTAGAAACCATTTTAAAACTATTAATTGGTTAATCTATCCCTTGAGATTTGTAAGGAGCACTTAAGAGGAAGAGGCTAATGGCTACAGTTATAGCTCATCATAGGTTTCCTTGCAGTCCTTGGCTGTGTTCTGTCCCAGCCTATGTGAGTCCTTGTTAACTCACAAGGACAAACCCCTCTTTTAACAAATAGGCTGGAAATGCAGGAAAAACAAACTCCTTTTATTAATTATGTGTTGTTCGTCCATCGATTTCGATGAAGACCTTGACATCTTATGGATTATGGGCCATCAACGGTGTGTCCGTAGATGGCTGATAAGACCGATGTTAGCACGGAATGTTCTGCCACATACTGAACAGAGAAAAGTGGACACTATTGCTTCAGCATTTGCAGCTCTGGCTTTACGGAGTGCTCGCTTCTCTTGTGCCA